CGACTTGCCCCAAGAAAAAAAATGGTGTGCTCGAACAGATGGAAAAAAATGCCTGCGGAAAAACAAAACAAATTAAAAAGTCACATAATTTTGTTATAATAGGAATTGTTGTGACTGGGAGGCATGTGACAGGCTTAAGTAAGCTCTGTATCAGAAAATTCTATATGACATCTTATTGTCCTTTCAAATGCAATATGATTGTAATGTCTAGCAACAATGACAAGCCACCGGGGTCTGACAACTTGGATGGAAAATTACTGAGGAAAATAGCGGATGATATTGCCAATCCTATTTGCCATATCTTCAATCATAGCCTACTAGAAAGTGTGTGCCCTCAGGCCTGGAGGGAAGCAAAAGTCATTCCGATACCCAAGAATAGTAAAGCCCACTTTACAACCCTTAGTAAACTTTTGGAAAAAATGGTGTTTGACCAGATACAATGCTATTTTACTGTAAACAAATTGACAACAGACTTTCAGCACGCTTATAGGGAAGGACATTAAACAAGCACGGCACTTACACAAATGACTGATGATTGGCTGAGAGAAAATTGATGATAAAAAGATTGTGGGAGCTTTTTTGTTAGACTTCAGTGCGGCTTTTGACATTATCGATCATAGTCTGCTGCTGGAAAAAACGTATGTGTTATAGCTTTACACCCCCTGCTATATTGTGGAAAAAGAGTTACATGTCTAGCAGAATACAGAGGGTGTTCTTTAATGGAAGCCTCTCCAACATAATCCAGGTAGAATCAGGAATTCCCCAGGGCAGTTGTCTAGGCCCTTTAATTTTTCGATCTTTACTAATGACATGCCACTGGCTTTGAGAAAAGCCAGTGAGTCTATGTATGCGGATGACTCAACACTATACACGTCAGCTACTACAGAGAATTAAATCAATGCAACACTTAACAAAGCGCTGCAGTTAGTTTCAGAACAGGTGGCAAGGAATAAGTTAGTTCTAAATATTTCAAAAACTAAAAGCATTGTATTTGGGACAAATCAATCACTAAATCCTGAACCTCAACTAAATATTGTAATAAATAATGTGGAAATTGAGCAAGTTGAGGTGACTAAACTTGGAGTAACCCTGGATTGTAAACTGTCATGGTCAAAACATGTTGATACAACAGCAGCTAAGATGGGGAGAAGTCGGTCCATAATAAAAAGCTGCTCTGCCTTTTTAACAACTAGGCTGTCACGACTTCCTCCGAAGCTGCCGCCTCTCCTTGTTCGGGTAGGCTTCGGCGTTCGTCATCACCGGCCTTCTAGCCACTGCCGCTCCTCATCTCATCATTCAATTTTTTGTTTATTACACACACCTGGTTCATAACCCCTCATCAGTGCCTGTATAAGTGTTCCCTCTGTCCCCTTGTCTTTGTGTCTTTCCCAGTGCGCCTGTTTTAAGCACTGGAGTGTTTGACGCATTGCTGCGTACCGCTGTGCCTTCGGAAGAAACCCTTTTATTCTGTGATTTACCCTCCAGGGCCTGACTCCATTCAAATCACTCACCACAGAATCACACACCCGACATGGAGTCAGCAGGAGAAGAGCACATGCCTGGAGTCGTGGCAGCTGGAGAGCTACTTCTCGTCCATCAGCCCGGCTCCATCGGAGCGGGAGAAGGTGTTCGCCCTCATCTCCTGCCTCCCGGGGAAAGCCCTGGAGTGGGCCAATGCGGTCTGGAGTGAAGGAGGAGCCGCGATGGACAACTACAGGGAGTTCGCGCGCCTCTTCTGGGCAGTTTTCGATCACCCGCCCGAAGGAGGCGGGCGAGCGGCTGGTCCAACTGGGGGACGAGGACTGCGCAGGACTTTGCCCTGGAGGTTCGTACTCTAGCGGCTGGGTCCGGGTGGAATGAGCGGGCCCTCATCGACTGTTTCCGGTGCAGCCTGCGAGAGGACGTCCGAAGGGAGCTAGCCTGCCTACACAGTAGTTTCCCAGTGTAAGACGCTGGTCGATTCAGGCGCAGCTGGGAACTTTGTGGACAGGTCGTTAGCGCAAAGTCTAGGTATTCCATTGGTTCCCCTATCCATTCCACTACCCATCAAAGCACTTGACAGTCGACCATTAGGGTCAGGGTTCGTTAGGGAAGTTACAGCACCAGTCACGATGGTTACGCACAAAACTCATAGAGAGCAATTCACTTTTTTTTATTATTGAGTCCCCTGATTACCCTGTTGTGTTGGGTCTTCCCTGGTTAGCACTACACAACCCCACCTTTTCATGGCCGCAGAGGGTTCTCACAGAGTGGTGGAGAGAGTGCCAGGGTAGGTGTCTAGCTGTTTCCATTGGTGCAACCACGGTAGAAAGTCCAGACACTACCTCCAACATGCGCATTCCCCCTGAATACCTCGATTTGGCGCACATGTTTTCCAAAACGCAGGCGACCAAATTACCACCTCATCGGGCAGGGGATTGCGCGATAAACCTCCGGATAGACGCTGTGCCTCCCAGGAGTCATGTATATCCCTTGTCGCAGGCTGAAACGGAGGCGATGGAGACATACGTCTCCGAGTCCCTGTGCCAGGGGTTCATACATCCCTCCACTTTGCCCTCCTCCTCAAGTTTATTTTTTGTGAAGAAGAAAGACGGAGGTCTGCGCCCTTGCATTGATTACCGAGCACTGAACAAGGGGACAATGCGTTATAGTTATCCTCTACCCCTCCTTCCATCTGTAATCGAGTCAATGCATAGATCTCCGGAGTTCGTACTACCTGGTGTGTGTCCGAGAGAGGGACGAGTGGAAGGCAGCATTCAGCACAACCATGGGGCATTATGAATACCTGGTGATGCCTTACGGTTTGATGAATGCTCCATCAATCTTCCAGTCCTTTGTGAACGAGGTGTTTTGGGACATGCTTGGTCGCGGTGTAGTGGTCTACATCGATGACATTCTGGTGTATTCCGCTACGCGCGCTGAGCATGTGTCCCTGGTTCGCAAAGTGCTGGGCCAACTGTTGGAACATGACCTTTATGCCAAGGCAGAAAAGTGTCTGTTTTTCCAACAGTCGGATACCGCATTACCACCTCAGGCATGGAGATGGAGGGAGATCGCATTTCAGCTGTGCGTAATTGGCCGACTCCAACCACGGTAAAGGAGGTGCAGCGCTTTATTGGCTTTGCCAACTACTATCGGAGGTTTTTCCAGGGCTTTGGCAAGGTCGCAGCTCCCATCACCTCACTGTTGAAGGGTGGCTCTGTTGAAGGGTGGCCCTGTTTACTCACGTCTTCCGGCACTACGGGGTGCCAGAGGACATAGTGTCTGACCGGGGTCCCCAGTTTACATCCAGGGTCTGGAAGGCGTTCATGGAACGTCTGGGGGTCTCGGTCAGCCTGACCTCTGGGTTTCACCCCGAGTCTAATGGGCACTTGGAACGGGTGAATCAAGATGTGGGTAGGTACCTGCGGTTCCTACTGCCAGGACCAGCCGGGGGAGTGCTCAGTGTTCTTACCATGGGCCGAATATGCCCAGAACTCTCTCCGCCACTCCTCCACTAACCTAACGCCATTTCAAAGTGTTTTATGTTATCAGCCAGTTCTGGCACCGTGGCATCAGAGCCAGACAGAAGCTCCTGCGGTGGATGACTGGTTTCAACGCGTGGAGGAGACGTGGAACGCTGCTCACGTCCATCTCCAGCGCACCGTGCGTCGCCAGAAGGCCAACGCTGACCGCCACCGCAGTGAGGCCCCGGTTTCTGTACAGGGTGATGGGGTCTGGCTCTCGACCCGGAATCTGTCCCTCTGCCTGCCCTGCTGGAAGCTGAGCCCGTGGTTTGTGGGGCCGTTTAAAGTCCTGAGGAGGATAAACGAGGTTACCTATAGGTTACTACTCCCTCCAGATTATTGTATTAACCACTCGTTCAATGTGTCTCTCCTCAGGCCGGTGGTGGCTGGTCCGCTCCAGGAGTCTGAGGTGGACATCGAGGTGGCCCCGGCGTACTCCGTCCATTCCATTCTGGATTCAAGGCGTTGGGTGGGGGACCTTCAGTACCTCGTGGAGTGGGAGGGGTACGGTCCGGAGGCGCGGTGCTGGGTCCCGGTGAGGGATATCCTCGATCCCTCCCTGTTGCAGGATTTCCACCGTCGCCATCCGGCTCGCCCTGCTCCGCGTCCTCCTGGCTGTCCCCGAGGCCGGTGTCGGCGCGCTGCTGGAGCTGCGTGTCAAGGGGGGTGGTACTGTCACGACTTCCTCCGAAGCTGCCTCCTCTCCTTGTTCGGGCAGGCTTCGGCATTCGTCGTCACCGGCCTTTTAGCCACTACCACTCCTTATCTCATCATTCCTTTTGTTTTGTCTTGTGATCAGGTGCCACAAAGAGGGACCTCGGAAAATTACAACTGGCTCAGAACAGGGCAGCACGGCTGGCCCTTAAATGTACACGAAGAGCTAACATTAATAATGTGCATGTAAATCTCTCATGCCTCAAAGTGGAGGAGAGATTGACTTCATCACTACTTGTTTTTATAAGAAGTGTTGACACGCTGAATGCATCGAGGTGTCTGTTTAAAATACTAGCACACAGCTCAGACACCCATGCATACCCCACAAGACATGCCACCAGAGGTCTCTTCACAATCCCCAAGTCAAGAACAGACTATGGGAGGTGCACAGTACTACATAGAGCCATGACTCCATGGAACTCTATTACACATCAGGTAACTGATGCAAGCAGTAGAATCAGATTTAATAAACTGTTAATACACCTTATGGAACAGCGGGGACTGTGAAGAGACACACACACAGGCACAGACACACGCTTCCACATACACATGATAAGACACGCACTCTACACACACGTACACATGGATTTTGTATTGTAGATGTATGTGGTAGTAGAGTAGTGGCCTGAGGGAACATACTTCATGTGTTGTGAAAAGTGTTATGAAATGTAATGTCATGTAATATTTTAAATTGTATATAACTGCCTTAATGTTGCTGGACCCCAGGATCCTTAATAAATACAAATACAAATGAAATAAAGGAATTAAAAGGCTTTGCTGGTTCCTTTATGAATAGTTTATAATATATTATTATTATGTATAATTCAAGAAAAAAAATACTACTTTAAACATCAAGCACAGTATTTACAGTCGACACTGCTGATTGCAGAATGATATGCAGACAAAATATAACAATGTACATGTAAGATATGGCCATTGACTTTTATGCAGTAACACAAAGTTGGTTTGGATATTTGTTTCTTTCAGTCTGAAATAGACAATAGTGTCCTTTTCAAATTCCTGACGAGATACAGTACATTGCCACTTTACAAAGAACATAGCAGTAAGGTCTCATTGGAGGAGTGCAATTTCACATCATGACACGTTCTCACTTTAATATGTCAATTAAATATAATTCATGTTAAATAGCAATGCCATCCAATAATATTTTAGGCTGCTATCCAGAAGCTTCATTTTGATGTCTCTGCAACACTTTATAATAACTTTCATGAATAAGCAACAGTAAACAATTTATAAGTAGTGCACAAACCATTAATCCATATTTATAAACATTTACGCATTTAGAAGCATTAGAATTCATTCGCATTTATAACATTTATAATCATTTATAAATATGGATAAGCTTAAATAATGGCTTATTCATAAAGGTCATAATAAAGTGTAACCAATGTCTCCCATACTCTCTCCATCAAAGCAGCGTTTTCACATAGAGCTTTAACATGGAGTCCATGATTAGGAAGGGGAGATGGAAAGACAGTTTGCTTACTAACACTCTAATGTCTTAGTGCTTTGACAGACATTCTGTAGTCTTGAGGTTTCAGGGTGTACTTACAGATACACAGTGTAGATAATAGTCCAATCCTATCCTCATCCAACTCCAGGGGTAATTTGAATCCTGTACAACTCAACCTCCTGCTTTTGGAGTAGGTGCTAGCTATCCTCCCTCCCACAATATCGTCCACATCACATTTGCACAGCCCGGGGAAAGTCAAAGAGAAGGTGTGAGGGACAAGCATTATGATGATGATGAGGCAAGTTGAAGGCAGGTGAGGTTCGAGGGAGAGGGTGCCAGTAGGAGGAAGGGGCAGGAACAAGAAAGGAAGTAGTCCCATCTTCACTTCCTGTTATCTACATCTTCTGGATCTCAAAGAGACGTACGTCCGTGTCGTACCAGATGGGCGGGTCCACATTGCTGTGAAGACAAATAAATGTTTCAAATGTTAAATGCATTGGACAACATTGGAAGACTATTTCATCTTAGATCTAAGAGGAAGATAGAAAGCATTGGGACATGTTCATTAGGGAATGCAATGGCAAACGTTTGAAAAACGTTTTCCAATGGAGAAACGAAAGCAAGCGTTTCTTATTGGACAAGTCCAGGAAGTCCCTCCCTGCTTAATCCATTTTCTTCTGTTTGTTGCCAAATGAACACATCCCAGAAAAAAGAAGTACACAGATACATGAAACCCAACATGAATCATGAAAATGACTGAAATACCATAAGACTACAGCTCCCATCATGCCCTACTCACCGCAGGTAGACCACTCCCCACATGTAGGTGCGGAACCACATGGCCGTGCCGGCATTGGCCTGGTACTTCCTGATGAGGATGGGATGGGGGACGGGCAGGAGGCCCACCAGGGTGCCATGCTGGAGGAACTTCAGGATCTCAGACTCATCCGTCAAACCTCTGAGAGAGAGGGAGAATACGTTGCTACAATTAGAATCAGGAAAACTTTATTGTCCACGCAAGGTGAACATTTCTCTTTGGCTCCACACACATAAAAACAGACATTCAAATATCATCAGTCATTCAAGTGTTTCTTCCAAAAGGTATGGTGTGTGTTGTATGGGGGGGTTTGGAGCAAAGCTAAAAAATATATACAGTTGATGTCGGAAGTTTACATACACTTAGGTTGGAGTCATTAAAACTCGTTTTTCAACCACTCCACAAATTTCTTGTTAACAAACTATAGTTTTGGCAAGTCGGTTAGGACATCTAATTTGTGCATGACACAAGGAGTTTTTCCAACAATTGTTTACAGACAGATTATTTCACTTATAATTTACTGTATCACAATTCCAGTGGGTCAAAAGTTTACTGTGCCTTTTAAACAGCTTGGAAAATTCCAGAAAATGATGTCATGGCTTTAGAGGCTTCTGATAGGCTAGTTGACATCATTTGAGTCAATTGGAGGTGTACCTGTGGATGTATTTCAAGGCCTACCTTCAAACTCAGTGCCTACCTTCAAACTCTTTGCTTGACATCATGGGAAAATCAAAAGAAATCAGCCAAGACCTCAGAAAACAAATTGTAGACCTCCACAAGTCTGGTTCATCCTTGGGAGCAATTTCCAAACGCCTGAAGGTACCACGTTCATCTCTACAAACAATAGTACGCAAGTATAAACACCATGGGACCACGCAGCCGTCATACCGCTCAGGAAGGAGACACGTTCTGTCTCCTAGAGATGAATGTACTTTGGTGCGAAAAGTGCTAATCAATCCCAGAACAACAGCGAAGGACCTTGTGAAGATGCTGGAGGAAACAGGTACAAAAGTATCTATATCCACAGTAAAATGAGTCCTATATCAACATAACCTGAAAGGCCGCTCAGCAAGGAAGAAACCACTGCTCCAAAACCACCATAAAAAAGCCAGACTATGGTTCGCAACTGCACATGGGGACAAAGATCGTACTTTTTGGAGAAATGTCCTCTGGTCTGATGAAACAAAAATAGAACTGTTTGGCCATAATGACCATCGTTACGTTTGGAGGAAAAAGGGGAAGGCTTGCAAACCGAAGAACACCATCCCAACCATGAAGCACGGGGGTGGCAGCATCATGCTGTGGGGGTGCTTTGCTGCAGGAGGGTCTAGTGCACTTCACAAAATAGATGGCATCATGACGAAGGAAAATTATGTGGATATATTGAAGCAACATCTCAAGACATCAGTCAGGAAGTTAAAGCTTGGTCGCAAATGGGTCTTCCAAATGGACAATGACCCCAAGCATACTTCCACAGTTGTGGCAAAATGGCTTAAGGACAACAAAGTCAAGGTATTGGAGTGGCCATCACAAAGCCCTGACCTCAATCCTATAGAACATTTGTGGGCAGAACTGAAAAAGCGCTGCGAGCAAGGAGGCCTACAAACCTGACTCAGTTACACCAGCTCTGTCAGGAGGAATGGGCCACAATTCACCCAACGTATTGTGGGAAGCTTGTGGAAGGCTACCCGAAACGTTTGACCCAAGTTAAACAATTTAAAGGCAATGCTACCAAATACTAATTGAGTGTATGTAAACTTCTGACCCACCGGGAATGTGATGAAAGAAATAAAAGCTGAAATAAATCATTCTCTCTACTATTATTCTGACATTTCACATTCTTAAAATAAAGTGGTGATCCTAACTGACCTAAGACAGGGAATTTTTACTAGGATTAAATGTCAGGATTTGTGAAAAACTGAGTTTAAATGTATTTGGTTAAGGTGTATGTAAACTTACGACTTCAACTGTAATAATATCACTTTAATTAATTAATATTAATATGCCATTTAGCAGACGCTTTTATCCAAAGCGACTTACAGTCATGCGTGCATACATTTTTGTGTATGGGTGGTCCCGGGGATCGAACCCACTACCTTGGCGTTACAAGTGCCATGCTCTACCAGGTGAGCTACAGAGGACCTTCATAGAAGTAAACCTTTGATGACCAATATGACCAGTGATGTTTGACTTACTTGTCGATACAGATCTTCTCAACCTGCGGGACCAGCACCTGCAGCAGGCGCATTATGGTCTGTAGGGGGAGCTTACACTTCCAGGAGAGGACCTGAGGGAGAAGGAAGGGACACAATACACTCAGAACAAAAGGTGATAAGTAGAACCATACAGGGTTCTTCGGTTTGTCCCCATAGGGGAACCCCTTTTGGTGCTGGGTAAAACCCTTTGCAGATGGTTCTATCTAGAATGGATCTGTGGGTTAGAGCGTGGCCATGGCAACACCAGGGTTGTGGGTTAGAGTGTGGCCATGGCAACACCGGGGTTGTGGGTTAGAGTGTGGCCATGGCAACACCAGGGTTGTGGGTTTGAGTCCCGCATGGGCCACTTAATGAATACGTGTCACTGTCCATGTTGAAAGTTATTTAAGTGGCCTTGAATAAAAACGTCTTCTAAATGACTACAGTGAGGGAAAAAAGTATTTGATCCCCTGCTGATATGGTACGTTTGCCCACTGACAAATAAATGATCAGTCTATAATTTTAATGGTAGGTTTATTTGAACAGTGAGAGACAGAATAACAACAACAAAATCCAGAAAAACGCATGTCAAAAATGTTATAAATTGATTTGCATTTTAATGAGGGAAATAAGTATTTGACCCCCTCTCAATCAGAAAGATTTCTGGCTCCCAGGTGTCTTTTATACAGGTAACGAGCTGAGATTAGGAGCACACTCTTAAAGGGAGTGCTCCTAATCTCAGCTTGTTACCTGTATAAAAGAAACCTGTCTACAGAAGCAATCAATCAATCACATTCCAAACTCTCCACCATGGCCAAGACCAAAGAGCTCTCCAAGGATGTCAGGGACAAGATTGTTGACCTACACAAGGCTGGAATGGGCTACAAGACCATCTCCAAGCAGCTTGGTGAGAAGGTGACAACAGTTGGTGCAATTATTCGCAAATGGAAGAAACACAAAAGAACTGTCAATCTCCCTCGGCCTGGGGCTCCATGCAAGATCTCACCTCGTGGAGTTGCAATGATCATGAGAACGGTGAGGAATCAGCCCAGAACTACACGGGAGGATCTTGTCCATGATCTCAAGGCAGCTGGGACCATAGTCACCAAGAAAACAATTGGTAACACACTACGCCGTGAAGGACTGAAATCCTGCAGTGCCCGCAAGGTCCCCCTGCTCAAGAAAGCACATATACATGCCCATCTGAAGTTTGCCAATGAACATCTGAATGATTCAGAGGAGAACTGGGTGAAAGTGTTGTGGTCAGATGAGACCAAAATGGAGCTCTTTGGCATCAACTCAACTCGCCGTGTTTGGAGGAGGAGGAATGCTGCCTATGATCCCAAGAACACCATCCCCACCGTCAAACATGGAGGTGGAAACATTATGCTTTGGGGGTGTTTTTCTGCTAAGGGGACAGGACAACTTCACCGCATCAAAGGGTCAATGGACGGGGCCATGTACCGTCAAATCTTGGGTGAGAACCTCCTTCCCTCAGCCAGGGCATTGAAAATGGGTCGTGGATGGGTATTCCAGCATGACAATGACCCAAAACACACGGCCAAGGCAACAAAGGAGTGGCTCAAGAAGAAGCACAATAAGGTCCTGGAGTGGCCTAGCCAGTCTCCAGACCTTAATCCCATAGAAAATCTGTGGAGGGAGCTGAATGTTCGAGTTGCCAAACATCAGCCTCGAAACCTTTAATGCCACCAAGTACTAAGTCATGTTTTGCAGAGGGGTCAAATACTTATTTCCCTCATTAAAATGCAAATCAATTTATAACATTTTTGACATGCGTTTTTCTGGATTTTTTTGTTGTTATTCTGTCTCTCACTGTTCAAATAAACCTACCATTAAAATTATAGACTGATCATTTCTTTGTCAGTGGGCAAACGTACAAAATCAGCAGGGGATCAAATACTTTTTTCCCTCACTGTATATTATCATATTACTATTAAACCTACTCACCCAATCTGGTGTAGGGGCCCAGTGAGATTGAGACCTACTCACCCAGTCTGGTGTAGGGGCCCAGTGAGATTGAGACCTACTCACCCAGTCTGGTGTAGGGGACCAGTGAGATTGAGACCTACTCACCCAGTCTGGTGTAGGGGACCAGTGAGATTGAGACCTACTCACCCAGTCTGGTGTAGGGGACCAGTGAGATTGAGACCTACTCACCCAGTCTGGTGTAGGGGACCAGTGAGATTGAGACCTACTCACCCAGTCTGGTGTAGGGGACCAGTGAGATTGAGACCTACTCACCCAGTCTGGTGTAGGGGACCAGTGAGATTGAGAGGTACAGGAGATGGTGGATGATGTGCTTGACATGCGCCTTCTCTCCATCTCTGCCTCAGTGTAGAAAACATCCTGAGAACATAGAACACTGATGACTCATATACACACGCATGCACATAAACACACGATCACGCACACACACACACACACACACACACACACACACACACACAAACACACAGCCTTACCTCATTGTCCCTTCCAGAAATGGACTCTGTGTCGCTGACCCCTACGATGGCGCTGTGGTCAGCCTGGGGTGTGTGGTCAGCCTGGGGTGTGTGGTCAGTCTGGGGTGTGTGGTCAGTCTGGGGTGTGTGGTGTGACGCGTGTGAATGTTCCATCTTTGGCACAGTGATCATGGTGCCATCCTCTGACACCTGAGACTTCTCAGTCAGTTTGTCAATGGCTGCAGGCAGGGATTGATTTGATTGGACAGTTAAAACATCCATACAGTACAAAGGTGTTCAGAAGGTGACAGGAATAGCACAATAAAGACATTGGCTTATTTCCATTGTGGTCCTGAAGGACAGGGAAGCTATACAGTGGGGAAAAAAAGTATTTAGTCAGCCACCAATTGTGCAAGTTCTCCCACTTAAAAAGATGAGAGAGGCCTGTAATTTTCATCATAGGTACACGTCAACTATGACAGACAAATTGAGCATTTTTTTCCCCAGAAAATCACATTGTAGGATTTTTTTATGAATTTATTTGCAAATTATGGTGGAAAATAAGTATTTGGTCACCTACAAACAAGCAAGATTTCTGGCTCTCACAGACCTGTAACTTCTTCTTTAAGAGGCTCCTCTGTCCTCCACTCGTTATCTGTATTAATGGCACCTGTTTGAACTTGTTATCAGTATAAAAGACACCTGTCCACAACCTCAAACAGTCACACTCCAAACTCCACTATGGCCAAGACCAAAGAGCTGTCAAAGGACACCAGAAACAAAATTGTAGACCTGCACCAGGCTGGGAAGACTGAATCTGCAATAGGTAAGCAGCTTGGTTTGCAGAAATCAACTGTAGGAGCAATTATTAGGAAATGGAAGACATACAAGACCACTGATAATCTCCCTCGATCTGGGGCTCCACACAAGATCTCACCCCGTGGGGTCAAAATGATCACAAGAACGGTGAGCAAAAATCCCAGAACCACACGGGGGGACCTAGTGAATGACCTGCAGAGAGCTGGGACCAAAGTAACAAAGCCTACCATCAGTAACACACTACGCCGCCAGGAACTCATATCCTGCAGTGCCAGACGTGTCCCCCTGCTTAAGCCAGTACATGTCCAGGCCCGTCTGAAGTTTGCTAGAGTGCATTTGGATGATCCAGAAGAGGATTGGGAGAATGTCATATGGTCAGATGAAACCAAAATAGAACTTCTTGGTAAAAACTCAACTCGTCGTGTTTGGAGGACAAAGAATGCTGAGTTGCATCCAAAGAACACCATACCTACTGTGAAGCATGTGGGTGGAAACATCATGCTTTGGGGCTGTTTTTCTGCAAAGGGACCAGGACGACTGATCCGTGTAATGGAAAGAATGAATGGGGCCATGTATCGTGAGATTTTGAGTGAAAACCTCCTTCCATCAGCAAGGGCATTGAAGATGAAACGTGGCTGGGTCTTTCAGCATGACAATGATCCCAAACACACCGCCGGGCAACGAAGGAATGGCTTCGTAAGAAGCATTTCAAGGTCCTGGAGTGGCCTAGCCAGTCTCCAGATCTCAACCCCCTAGAAAATCTTTGGAGGGAGTTGAAAGTCTGTGTTGCCCAGCGACAGCCCCAAAACATCACTGCTCTAGAGGAGATCTGCATGGAGGAATGGGCCAAAATACCAGCAACAGTGTGTGAAAACCTTGTGAAGACTTACCGAAAACGTTTGACCTGTGTCATTGCCAACAAAGGGTATATAACAAAGTATTGAGAAACTTTTGTTATTGACCAAATACTTATTTTCCACCATAATTTGCAAATAAATTCATAGAAAATCCTACAATGTGATTTTCTGGATTTTTTTTTCTCATTTTGTCTGTCATAGTTGACGTGTACCTATGATGAAAATTACAGGCCTCTCTCATCTTTTTAAGTGGGAGAACTTGCACAATTGGTGGCTGACTAAATACCTTTTTTCCCCACTGTATGTCAGTTCATACAGAATGATGACTGTTGTGTTGAGAGAGTCCATATGGGGGAGATGGGGTTGTGTATCTGGTATAGAATCCTGGTAATGTTCAGATAGTAGTTACAGATACAGGAGGTCTTGTACCTGGTAGTGTTCAGATAGTAGTTATAGATACAGTTGAAGTCAGAAGTTTACATACACCTTAACCAAATACATTTAAATTCTGTTTTTCACAATTCCTGACATTTAATCCTAGTAAAAATTCCCTGTCTTAGGTCAGGTAGGATCACCACTTTATTTTAAGAATGTGAAATGTCAGAATAATAGCAGAGATAATTATTTATTTCAGCTTTTATTTCTTTCATCACATTCCCGGTGGGTCAGAAGTTTACATACACTCAATTAGTATTTGGTAGCATTGCCTTTAAATTGTTTAACTTGGGTCAAACATTTCGGGTAGCCTTCCACAAGCTTCCCACAATACGTTGGGTGAATTGTGGCCCATTCCTCCTGACAGAGCTGGTGTAACTGAGTCAGGTTTGTAGGCCTCCTTGCTCGCACATGCTTTTTCAGTTCTGCCCACAAATTTTCTTTAGGATTGAGGTCAGGGCTTTGTGATGGCCACTCCAATACCTTGACTTTGTTGTCCTTAAGCCATTTTGCCACAACTTTGGAAGTATGCTTGGGGTCATTGTCCATTTAGAAGACCCATTTGCGACCAAGCTTTAACTTCCTGACTGATGTCTTGAGATGTTGCTTCAATATATCCACATAATTTTCCTTCGTCATGATGCCATCTATTTTGTGAAGTGCACTAGACCCTCCTGCAGCAAAGCACCCCCACAGCATGATGCTGCCACCCCCGTGCTTCATGGTTGGGATGGTGTTCTTCGGCTTGCAAGACCCCCTTTTTCCTCCAAACATAACGATGGTCATTATGGCCAAACAGTTCTATTTTTGTTTCATCAGACCAGAGGACATTTCTCCAAAAAGTACGATCTTTGTCCCCATGTGCAGTTGCGAACCGTAGTCTGGCTTTTTTATGGCGGTTTTGGAGCAGTCGCTTCTTCCTTGTTGAGCGGCCTTTCAGGTTAAACGATATAGGACTCGTTTTACTGTGGATATAGATACTTTTGTACCTGTTTCCTCCAGCATCTTCACAAGGTCCTTCGCTGTTGTTCTGGGATTGATTAGCACTTTTCGCACCAAAGTACATTCATCTCTAGGAGACAGAACGTGTCTCCTTCCTGAGCGGTATGACGGCTGCGTGGTCCCATGGTGTTTATACTTGCGTACTATTGTTTGTAGAGATGAACGTGGTACCTTCAGGCGTTTGGAAATTGCTCCCAAGGATGAACCAGACTTGTGGAGGTCTACAATTTGTTTTCTGAGGTCTTGGCTGATTTCGTTTGATTTTCCCATGATGTCAAGCAAAGAGGCACCGAGTTTGAAGGTAGGCCTTGAAATACATCCACAGGTACACCTCCAATTGACTCAAATTATGTCAATTAGCCTATCAGAAGCTTCTAAAGCCATGACATCATTTTCTGGAATTTTCCAAGCTGTTTAAAGGCACAGTCAACTTAGTGTATGTAAACTTCTGACCCACTGGAATTGTGATACAGTGAATTATAAGTCAAATAATCTGTCTATAAACAATTGTTGGAATAATTACTTGTGTCATGCACAAAGTAGATGTGCTAACCGACTTGCCAAAACTATAGTTTGTTAACAAGACATTTGTGGAGTGGTTGAAAAACAAGTTTTAATGACTCCAACCTAAGTGTATGTAAACTTCCGACTTCAACTGTAGGTGGTTATACAGGGTTTTTCTAGATCAAAAAGGGGCTTAGTTAGTGGGCGTGACAGGGGGCATGGCAGGAGGCATGACAATGGGCACGTTCAGCGCGGCTTAATTTTAGAGAACATTTTAGAGGCTTCCATCTTGGTGTTCCTTTTCTGCCATGGCTAATGCTGTGTTATTTTGCTCAAACCTAATAACAAAAGATACTGTTAAATTCATTGTTTTTGGAATTTTCTATTCCCCTGACTGTCTAGCTTTTATTTCGCTGATTGGTAGTTCTCAAAGACTATATTATAAAAAATATATAGGTCCATTATCTTTTCTACACTGAAAGCATTTTTCCACCCTGAAAATTTATAAAATAAAATAAACAAATATATATACAGTATATATACAGTTCCAGTCAAAAGTTTGGACACACCTACTCATTCCAGGGTTTTTCTTTATTTTTACTATTTTCTACATTGTAAAATAATAGTGAAGACATCAACGCTATGAAATAACACATTTGGAATCATGTAGTACCAGAAAAGTGTTAAACAAATCCAAATATATATTTTATATTTAAGATTCTTCAAAGTAGCCACCCTTTGCCTTGATGACAGCTTTGCACACTCTTGGCATTCTCTCAATCAGCTGCATGAGGTAGTAACATGGAATGTGTTTAAATTAACAAGTGTACCTTGTTAAAAGTTAATTTGTGAAATGTATTTCCTTCTTAATGTTTGAGCCAATCAGTTGTGTTGTGACAAGGTTGGGGTGGTATACAGAAGATAGCCCTATTTGTTAAAAGACCAAGTCCATATTATGGCAAGAACAGCTCAAATAAGCGAAGAGAAACGACAGTCCATCATTACTTTAAGACATGAAGGTCAGTCAATTCGAAAGTTTCTTCAAGTGCATTTGCAAAAATCATCTAGCGCTATGAGGACCGCCACAGGAAAGGAAGACCCAGAGTTACCTCTGCTGCAGAGGATAAGTTCATTAGAGTCACCAGCCTCAGAAATTGCAGCCTAAATAAATGCTTCACAGAGTTCAAGTAACAGGCACATCTCAACATCAACTGTTCAGAGGAGACTACGTGAATCAGGCCTTCATGTTTGAATTGCTGCAAAGAAATGACTACTAAAGGACACATTAGACCAGTGGAAATCTGTCCAAATTTGAGATTTTTGGTTCAAACCGCTGTGTCTTTGTGAGACGCAGAGTAGGTGAACTGATGATCTCCACATGTGTGGCTCCCAACGTGAAGCATGGAGGAGGAGGTATGATGGTGTGGGGGTGCTTTGCTGGTGACACTGTCAGTGACTTATTTAGAATTCAAGGCACACTTAACCTGCATGGCTACCACAGCATTCTGCAGCGATATGCCATCCCATCTGGTTTGCGCTTACTGGGACTATCATTTGTTTTTCAACAGGACAATGACCCAACAAACCTCCAGGCTGTGTAAGGGCTATTTCACCAAGAAGGAGAGTGATGGAGTGCTGCATCAGATGACCTGGCCTCCACAATCACCCTACCTCAACCCAATTGAGATGGTTTGGGATGGGTTGGACCGCAGAGTGAAGGAAAAGCAGCCAACAAGTGCTCAGCATATGTGGGAACTCTTCCAACAAGACTGTTGGAAATGCATTCCAGGTGAAGCTGGTTCAGAGAATGCCAAGAGTGTGCAAGCAAGGCTACTTTGAAGAATCTGAAATCTAAAACATAATTTGATTTGTTTAACACTTTTTTGGTTACTACCTGATTCCATATGTGTTATTTCATAGTTTAGATGTCTTCACTATGATTCTACAAAGGAAAAACCCTGGATTGAGTAGGTGTGTCCAAACTTTTGGCTGGTACTGTATTTATTTTTTACAGTTTGGACTTATGTGTGACGAAAAAACGCTTAGGCGGCCCGCCCAAGTGTTTCTATGGCAGAGAAATCCCTGGTTATAGATAGTTATATATAGGTTGTTATAGTTATAGATAGGTGGTGTACCTGGTATAGCGACCAGGCTGGTCTTCAGTGTTCCTGGCTCTGCGGGGACGGCCGGACGGGAGCCCTCCATGGACACCGTCTCCTGGGAGCTGGTACGGGAGATGCCGGTGATGGCGTCCGGTAACTTTCTCTTCCTCAGCAAGGCCTTCTGGATGGAGGCAGGGTCGGACGGCAGGTTGGCCAGCTGATGGAACAAGTTGCGTTTGCGGATAATGGCGTAGACTAGGTTACAGTTTCCTGGAAGAAAATTGCAGATTTAAGAGCAAGGGACTATGAGCGTTACATTGATACGACACAACAGCACATCAAAGCAAGGCAGTAAATAGTCCTTCTACTTACTGAACCCACAGAAAGTAAGAAACGTATAACTTGACTAATTACAATCCCCTTTTATATTATAATTTTTTGTTGATAGAACAGTGAGGAATTGAGAGCCCGGAGATAGATTATAGAGGGGCCCAGGTAGGCAAGGGGCAGAGACAGGGCTCAAACCCCAGTCGTTAGCCGGTATCTGTGGTCCGGAGTCGGCAGCAATACCAACAGACCAGACTCCGGCAGGACTAAACACAGTCCTATGCTATTCTACGGAGTCAGACATGTAACCTGTTCTGAGAGGAGCAGGCGGGGTAAACACTGGTCCTCTCACCATCAAACTGGTACTGGATGATGTTGTTGAAGGCCTCCAGCAGGAAGAAGACAAGGTGGTGGTTCTGGGAGGCGGAGAAGAGGAACCAATTGGTGGAGAAGGCTTCCAGGAGGTGGAGCAGCTTGTTGGCTGCCACCATGGACAGACTCTTCAGGTAGGGAGACACTGTGGAGGAGAGGGAGGAGGAGTCATTCAGGTAGGGAGACACTGTGGAGGAGAGGGAGGAGGAGTCATACAGGTAGGGAGACACTGTGGAGGAGAGGGAGGAGGAGTCATTCAGGTAGGGAGACACTGTGGAGGAGAGGGAGGAGGAGTCATTCAGGTGGGAGACACTGTGGAGGAGAGGGAGGAGGAGTCATACAGGTAGGGAGACACTGTGGAGGAGAGGGGGGAGGAGTCCTTTGTAGAAATACTCTACAATGAGCAAAGATTGAGCCTAATCCTAGCTAGACTAAAAAGCATGTCCAATGGATATTCTCCATTGACAGAGCTTCTTAGTCCATGATTAGGCTTAATCTGTGTCCGGGAAACTGGCCCTGAGACACACAGTATACAGAATTACAATCTACTTACTGATATTGAAGATTATGCATATTCAAAAGTAACATCTCAATTTGCATGAATCAAATAATTACTTCATGAGTACATCTGTCTGGGTGTTTAAGGTGATCCCAGGGACTGTTCCAAAGTAATGTAATATTGAACTGTTCAATACCTCAGAACTTTCTGTGAGGCTGAGGTTACAAGGAGTGTAAATGTTTCCTGTGGGCCGGATTGTCTCATGAATGACATGTTGTTGTGCTGATTGTAGGCTACCGTATGTATTAAATGTTGTAACGCTGTACTGACTACTGCTGCCTTCTTGGCCAGATCTCTCTTGTAAAATAGACTATGTGTCTCAGTGGGACTTTCCTGGTTAAATGAAGGTTAAATAAAAAAAAAAACAAGGGTTACAAAGATCCATGTGTATATTTGACCAGCAGATGGAGCCAGTGCAGAGCTACTCACCATTTACCACGATGGTGAGCAGGCAGTCAAAGAGAGGCTGTAGACGCTGGTGACCGCTGGTGATGATCTTGTGGAACACCTGGAGATCACACAGAGAGGTACAGACATAGAGATATAATTACTAGAAGGGAAAAAGACCCTCAGCTCAGACAACGGCAATTTGACTGGAACACTTATGGGTACACTCAATCGCCCGTCAAGCCACCCATCGGAGAACATTTATTGACTTGAATGTCTGTTTTAGAATTCTATTTCAAAAGGACCTGGATTTATATAGTATTCGTTTCCATTCAAATGCTTTATCTGCGCTTCATTGATCTTGCCTTGCGCAATGGAACCAATGGGAGAGTCCCAATAGAGCTAACCCTGCCCATTTGGCACTCCAGGACCAATTACAAATATTTGAAATTAATACTATTTGAATCTAAGTGTGATAAAGACATCAAATTATAACTTGTGAGGCTTTTTAATTAACACATAGAGGCAGATCACAGAAAATGCAATATTGCCTGCAAAATTAATCAATTTGCTACAGTCTACTGTATTCCACAGAGATATATTATATTCATTCTATATCTATGCTGTAGCCTACTGTAATTTGTATGGCAGAGTCTTACTACTATGAGTAGGTCGGCGTGGGTCCCTGTAAATACTGGGATGTCCATAGGTACGTGGACGGAGTAGGGCTTGTTGAGACGCACGCCAAAGTTCCTCTCTCCACTCAGCAGTAGCAGGATAAAGACACCGATGTGCATGAGACCCACACGAGCTGTAGCAGAAACACGTGAGCGCACACACTCTCACACACACACACACACACACACACACACGCTCACACACACACACACACACACACGCTCACACACACACACACACACACACACACGCTCACACACACACACACACACACGCTCACACACACACACACACACGCTCACACACACACACACACACACACACACACACACACACACACACACACACACACACACACACACACAGAGCGAGAGACAATCACTAAAACCATTAACAAGGCATATGTTAATAAATCAGATATTCACAGCCATTAGCAGATATATAGTATATTCCAGTCCCTACAGACAGATATATAGTATATTCCAGTCCCTACAGACAGATATATAGTATATTCCAGTCCCTACAGACAGATATATAGTATATTCCAGTCCCTACAGACAGATATATAGTATATTCCAGTCCCTACAGACAGATATATAGTATATTCCAGTCCCTACAGACAGATATATAGTATATTCCAGTCCCTACAGACAGATATATAGTATATTCCAGTCCCTACAGACAGATATATATTATATTCCAGTCCCTACAGACAGATATATAATATATTCCCTACAAACTTTACTCACACCCTGGCATCATTCAAGTTGAAGAGGATAGGTCTGTGTGTGTGTGTGTGTGTGCGCGCGCGTGTGTGCGTGTGTGCGTGTGTGCGCGTGTGTGTGTGTGTGTGTGCGTGTGTGTGCGTGTGTGTGTGCGTGTGTGTGCGTGTGCGCGTGTGTGTCTACAGACTGTACTCACACTGGTCGGCCCTGGCGTCATTAAGATAGAAGAGGATGGGTACCAGGATGTCCAGAACATCACTGCTCTTCAATACAAAGAACAGGAACTTCTGTGATGGGCAGAGAGACAGTGGTATGGGTTATTAGAATGTGATGTGTATTTGTTTTTCTGTTTAGGGTAGGTTAGTCCTCTATTTTATTTTGACTCTTTAATTAATTTTCAATGAAGATCGTGATCATCTCGGCTACCAAATTTACTGTCAATATTATATATATATACACCTGTCTTCTACCTGTTGTGTATTCACTGATGATGATTGTGTCAGAAGGTGTATCTAACTAAAATGTTGTTTTAAACTGTGCCTCAATTGAATACAGTCTGTGTCAAGGGTGCCAGTATTTCAACACAATAACAACCTGTTTGGTTTCCTACTAGCCTGGTCCTAGATCTGTTTGTGCTTCATAGCTAACCACTCCTACAGTATGGTAAGGAATAACACAGATCTGGGATCAGGCTTGTCTCAGGCTAGTCTCCTACCTTATTATAAAATAATAATACAGTATATAATATATAATATAATACTAGAATAATATACTATAATAATAATTATATATAATATACAATGATAATATTAATATATATAATAATAATAATAATAATAATAATAATAATAATAATAATAATACATATACATATATAAACTCAGCAAAAAAAGAAACGTCCCTTTTTCAGAACCCTGTCTTTCACATATAATTTGTAAAAATCGAAATAACTTCACAGATCTTCATTGTAAAGGGTTTAAACACTGTTTCCCATGCTTGTTCAATGAACCATAAACAATTAATGAACATGCACCTGTGGAACGGTTGTTAAGACATTAACAGCTTACAGACGGTAGGCAATTAAGGTCACAGTTATGAAAACTTAGGACACTAAAGAGGCCTTTCTACTGACTCTGAAAAACACCAAAAGAAAGATGCCCAGGGTCCCTGCTCATCTGCGTGAACGTGCCTTAGGCATGCTGCAAGGAGGCATGAGGACTGCAGATGTGGCCAGGGCAATAAATTGCAATGTCCGTACTGTGAGATGCCTAAGACAGCACTACAGGGAGACAGGACGGACAGCTGATCGTCCTCACAGTAGCAGACCACGTGTAACAACACATGCACAGGATCGGTACATCCGAATATCACAACTGCAGGACAGGTACACGATGGCAACAACAACTGCCCGAGTTACACCAGGAACGCACAATCCCTCCATCAGTGCTCAGACTGTCCGCAATAGGCTGAGAGAGGCTGGACTGAGGGCTTGTACGCCTGTTGTAAGGCAGGTGCTCACCAGACATCACCGGCAACAACGTCGCCTATGGGCACAAACCAGGGGTGATGGTCGGATTCGCATTTATCGTCGAAGGAATGAGCGTTACACCGAGGCCTGTACTCTGGAGCGGGATCGATTTGGAGGTGGAGGGTCCGTCATGGTCTGGGGCGGTGTGTCACAGCATCACCGGACTGAGCTTGTTGTCATTGCAGGCAATCTCAACGCTGTGCGTTACAGGGAAGACATCCTCCTCCCTCATGTGGTACCCTTCCTGCAGGCTCATGCTGACATGACCCTCCAGCATGACAATGCTACCAGCCATACTGCTCGTTCTGTGCGTGATTTCCTGCAAGACAGGAATGTCAGTGTTCGGCCATGGCCAGCGAAGAGCCCGGATCTCAATCCCATTCAGCACGTCTGGGACCTGTTGGATCGGAGGGTGAGGGCTAGGGCCATTCCCCCCAGAAATGTCCGGGAACTTGTAGGTGCCTTGGTGGAAGAGTGGGGTAACATCTCACAGCAAGAACTGGCAAATCTGGTGCAGTCCATGAGAAGGAGATGCACTGCAGTACTTAATGCAGCTGGTGGCCACACCAGATACCAGTTACTTTTGATTTTGACCCCCACTTTGTTCAGGGACACATTATTCAATTTCTGTTAGTCACATGTCTGTGGAACTTGTTCAGTTTATGTCTCAGTTGTTGAATCTTGTTATGTTCATACAAATATTTACACATGTTAAGTTTGCTGAAAATAAACGCAGTTGACAGTGAGAGGACGTTTCTTTTTTTGCTGAGTTTATATATACAGTACCAGTCAAAAGTTCACCATTATTCTACAACATACAATGTAAAAAAAAAAAAACTTGAATGAGTAGGTGTGTCCAAACTTTTGACTGGTACTGTATATTTATATATATATATATACAGTGGGGAGAACAAGTATTTGATACACTGCCGATTTTGCAGGTTTTCCTACTTACAAAGCATGTAGAGGTCTGTCATTTTTATCATAGGTACACTTCAACTGTGAGAGACGGAATCTAAAACAAAATTCCAGAAAATCACATTGTATGATTTTTAAATAATTCATTTGCATTTTATTGCATGACATAAGTATTTGATACATCAGAAAAGCAGAACTTAATATTTGGTACAGAAACCTTTGTTTGCAAATACAGAGATCATACGTTTCCTGTAGGTCTTGACCAGGTTTGCACACACTGCAGCAGGGATTTTGGCCCAGCGATTTTGACTTCAGGTTTCGGGGCTGTCGCTGGGCAATACGGACTTTCAGCTCCCTCCAAAGATTTTCTATTGGGTTCAGGTCTGGAGACTGGCTAGGCCACTCCAGGACCTTGAGATGCTTCTTACGGAGCCACTCCTTAGTTGCCCTGGCTGTGTGTTTCGGGTCGTTGTCATGCTGGAAGACCCAGCCACGACCCATCTTCAATGTTCTTACTGAGGGAAGGAGGTTGTTGGCAAAGATCTCGCGATACATGGCCCCATCCATCCTCCCCTCAATACGGTGCAGTCGTCCTGTCCCCTTTGCAGAAAAGCATCCCCAAAGAATGATGTTTCCACCTCCATGCTTCACGGTTGGGATGGTGTTCTTGGGGTTGACCTCATCCTTCTTCTTCCTCCAAACACGGCGAGTGGAGTTTAGACCAAAAAGCTATATTTTTGTCTCATCAGACCACATGACCTTCTCCCATTCCTCCTCTGGATCATCCAGATGGTCATTGGCAAACTTCAGACGGGCCTGGACATGCGCTGGCTTGAGCAGGGAGACCTTGCGTGCGCTGCAGGATTTTAATCCATGACGGCGTAGTGTGTTACTAATGGTTTTCTTTGAGACTGTGGTCCCAGCTCTCTTCAGGTCATTGACCAGGTCCTGCCGTGTAGTTCTGGGCTGATCCCTCACCTTCCTCATGATCATTGATGCCCCACGAGGTGAGATCTTGCATGGAGCCCCAGACCGAGGGTGATTGACCGTCATCTTGAACTTCTTCAATTTTCTAATAATTGCGCCAACAGTTGTTGCCTTCTCACCAAGCTGCTTGCCTATTGTCCTGTAGCCCATCCCAGCCTTGTGCAGGTCTACAATTTTATCCCTGATGTCCTTACACAGCTCTCTGATCTTGGCCATTGTGGAGAGGTTGGAGTCTGTTTGATTGAGTGTGTGGACAGGTGTCTTTTACACAGGTAACGAGTTTAAACGGGTGCAGTTAATACAGGTAATGAGTGGAGAACAGGAGGGCTTCTTAAAGAAAAACTAACAGGTCTGTGAGAGCCGTAATTCTTACTGGTTGGTAGGTGATCAAATACTTATGTCATGCAATAAAATGCAAATTAATTACTTAAAAATCATACAATGTGATTTTCTGGATTTTTGTTTTAGATTCCGTCTCTCACAGTTGAAGTGTACCTGTGATAAAAATTACAGACCTCTACATGCTTTGTAAGTAGGAAAACCTGCAAAATCGGCAGTGTATCAAATACTTGTTCTCCCCACTGTATATATATATATATATATATATATATATATATACAGTCATGGCCAAAATTGTTGGCACCCCTGAAATTTTTCCAGAAAATGAAGTATTTCTCACAGAAAAGTATTGAAATTACACATGTTTTGCTATGCACATGTTTATTTCCTTTGTGTGTATTGGAATAACACAAAAAAAAACAGGAAAAAAGCAAATTTGACATAATTTCACACAAAACTAAAAAAATGGGCCGGACAAAGTTATTGGCACCCTTTCAAAATTGTGGATAAATAAGTTTGTTCCAAGCATGTGATGCTCCTTTAAACTCACCTGGGGCAAGTAACAGGTGTGGGCAATCTAAAAATCACACCTGAAAGCAGATAAAAAGGAGAGAAGTTGACTCAGTCTTTGCATTGTGTTTCTGTGTGTGCCACACTAAGCATGGAGAACAGAAAGAGGAAAAGAGAACTGTCTGAGGACTTGAGAACCAAAATTGTGGAAAAATATCAACAATCTCAAGGTTACAAGTCCATCTCCAGAGATCTAGATGTTCCTTTGTCCACAGTGCGCAACATGATCAAGAAGTTTGCAACCCATGGCACTGTAGCTAATCTCCCTGGACGTGGACGGAAGAGAAAAATTGATGAAAGGTTGCAACGCAGGATAGTCCGGATGGTGGATAAGCAGCCCCAAACAAGTTCCAAAGAAATTCAAGCTGTCCTGCAGGCTCTGGGTGCATCAGTGTCAGCGCGAACTATACGTCGAAATTTGAATGAAATGAAACGCTATGGCAGGAGACCCAGGAGGACCCCACTGCTGACACAGAGACATAAAAAAGCAAGACTACAGTTTGCCAAAATGTACATGAGTAAGCCAAATTCCTTCTGGGAGAACGTCTTATGGACAGATGAGACCAAGATAGAGCTTTTTGGTAAAGCACATCGTTCTACTGTTTACCGAAAATGTAATGAAGCCTTCAAAGAAAAGAACACAGTACCTACAGTCAAATATGGTGGAGGTTCAAAGATGTTTTGGGGTTGTTTTGCTGCCTCTGGCACTGGGTGCCTTGACTGTGTGCAAGGCATCATGAAATCTGAGGATTACCAAAGGATTTTGGGTCGCAATGTAGGGCCCAGTGTCAGAAAGCTGGGTTTGCGTCCGAGATCATGGGTCTTCCAGCAGGACAATGACCCCAAACATACTTCAAAAAGCACCCAGAAATGGATGGCAACAAAGCGCTGGAGAGTTCTGAAGTGGCCAGCAATGAGTCCAGATCTTAATCCCATTGAACACCTGTGGAGAGATCTTAAAATTGCTGTTGGGAAAAGGCACCCATCCAATATGAGAGACCTGGAGCAGTTTGCAAAAGAAGAGTGGTCCAAAATTCCGGGTGAGAGGTGTAAGAAGCTTATTGATGGTTATAGGAAGCGACTGATTTCAGTTATTTTTTCCAAAGGGTGTGCAACTAAATATTAAGTTAAGGGTGCCAATCATTTTGTCCGGCCCATTTTTTGAGTTTTGTGTGAAATTATGTCAAATTTGCTTTTTTCCTGTTTTTTTTGTGTTATTCCAATACACACAAAGGAAATAAACATGTGCATAGCAAAACATGTGTAATTTCAATACTTTTCTGTGAGAAATACTTAATTTTCTGGAAAAATTTCAGGGGTGCCAACAATTTTGGCCATGACTGTATATATATATATTATTATTATTATTATTATTATTATTATATTATATTTTACCTTATTGAAGTCACAGAGCTTCCAGAAGAGCACCAGCAGCTCCTGGTGGAACTGTATCTTCTTGGTGGAGTTGGGCAGGTAGGTCTGCATCAGAGGGTTTACCAACAGGCGAGCCAGTCCCTTCAACACAAAGTCGTAGTCCTAGAGAGGGGGTGACACGAGAACCTTGTGTCAAACTTTAGACCACAGGTATTCAAATCTTACTCTACGAGGTCCGGAGTACTGATGGTTTTCTGTTCTACCTGATCATTAATTGCACCCACCTGATGTCCCAGGTCTAAATCAGTCCCTGATTAGAAGGGAAGGATGAAACACTGCAGTGGAACTGGCTTTGAGGTCCAGATTTTAATTTGAGAGTTTTAGACTAACGTCTTTTCACATAGCAAATCTGCACTTGCAATGTACCATTAGAGAAAGTGTGTAAGCATGATAGAAGAGAGAACTACAAAGTTGTAGTCCTCAGAGGGGGTCACATGACCTTTAGACTAGGGTCAGACCTTTAGACTAGGGTCAGACCTTTAGACTAGGGTCAGACCTTTAGATTAGGGTCAGACCTTTAGATGTCACCTTAGACTAGGGTCAGACCTTTAGACTAGGGTCAGACCTTTAGATTAGGGTCAGACCTTTAGATTAGGGTCAGACCTTTAGACTAGGGTCAGACCTTTAGACTATGGTCAGACCTTTAGATTAGGGTCAGACCTTTAGACTAGGGGTCAGACCTTTAGACTAGGGTCAGACCTTTAGATTAGGGTCAAACCTTTAGATTAGGGTCAGACCTTTGGACTGGTCTTTATTATTTTTTTTCTTTCTTTCTTTTTCTTCCCAATTGGTAGTTATAGTCTTGTCCCATCGCTGCAACTCCCCTACGGACTCGGGAGTGGCAAATGTCGAGAGCCATGCGTCCTCCGAAACACGACCCTGCCAAGCCGCACTGCTTCTTGACACACTGCTCGCTTAACCTGGAAGCCAGCTGCGCCAGCTGGCGACCAAAGTCAGCTTGCAGGCGCCCGGCCCGCCACAAGGAGTCACTAGAGCGCGATGGGACAAGGAAATCCCGGTCGGCCAAACCCTCCCCTAACCCGGACGACGCTGGGCCAATTTGTGCACCGCCTCATGGGTCTCCCGGTCACGGCCGGCTGTGACACAGCCTGGGATTGAACCTGGGTCTGTAGTGATACCTCAAGCACTGCGATGCAGTGCCTTAGACCGCTGCACCACTCGGAAGGCCCCCAGACAAGGGTCTTTTGACACAGCATATCTGCACTTGTAATGTAGCCTGGTTAAATGAGACTGAACATCGCTCACAACTAAAACAATGGTTAGCATTCACTCTACATGTAACAATAAAACCAATAAAAAGGAGGAAATGTGTGAAAAATATGACAACAAGAAAAATGACTGTACCTCTTCCCTGTGAATTCTTGAAAGGTAGTTTACAAACAGGTTGTCAGGGCCCACAGACTGCAGAAAAAGAGAGAGAGAAAAATAATGTATCAGCAACAACTAAGGGCCATGACAGATCCTTGGTCTCTGAAGGTGAATGGTAGCATAATGGATCATTTACATTTTAGTCATTTAGCAGACGCTCTTATCCAGAGTGAGTGCATACATTTTCATACTGGCCCCCCGTGGGAATCTAACCCACAACCCTGGCGTTGCAAACGCCATGCTCTACCAACTGAGCTACATCCCTGCCGGCCATTCCCTGGATGACGCTGGCTAATTGTGCGCCGCCCCATGGGTCTCCCGGTCGCGGCCGGCTACGACAGAGTCTGGATTCAAACCAGGATCTTTAGTGGCACAGCTAGCACTGCGATTCAGTGCCTTACACCACTGCGCCACTCGGGAGACAACATGGTGAATGTTAGCACAATGGACCATGACAGGCCCCTGGTCTCTGAAGGTGAATGTTAGCACAATGGACCATGACAGGCCCCTGGTCTCTGAAGGTGAATGTTAGCACAATGTATGTTGAATGAAATGTGATCTGTGGGACTTATCTTTTCTATTGACAGGCAACCACGCACGCACACACACACCATCACCCTCCCCCCTCCCCTGTACAGAAGTGTCCTGGCCTTACATCCTGGTCCTCCATGCTGGAGGGAGAGGGGGGTCGGTGGGCCAGCCCTCCTCCCTCGTGCTCCAGGGTGACGATGAGGATCTGCACGGCCTGCTCCACCAGCTGCTCACGGTAGTCGGAGAAGAGCAGGTGGTTGTAAGGGATGCCATAGCCCACCGGGTCGTAGGCACACACCACGTTCACCAGGGAGGTGAAGAGAGGCAGGGCATGCCTGAGGTAGGTGGACAGAGGGAAATAATCATTTGTATCAGTTATTGTTAGGAAAAGATGATGTGGTTTAGTGTGTATGTGTATGTATGTGTGTGTGGGATTGTGTGTGTGTGTGTGTGGGGGGGAGAGATTGTGTGTGTGTGTGTGTGTGTGTGTGTGTACCTCACCTGTTTTCTGTGGAGCAGAAGAAGCTGACCCAGGGGTTGAGGATGGGGTTGTCTGAGGAGGGAGGGAGGTACATGGCCTCAGAGAAACAGGTTAGCAGCAGCCTCAGCAGCTCTGTCCTGAGTGGCCAAGAACATACATGGAAAGAGAGGTTAATTGTGGGAGAGAGAAAGACGATAGAGAGAGGGGGGGGGTAGAGGGGAAAGAGGGGGTGAGAGAGAGGGAGGGGGGAAAGAGAGAGGGAGAAAAGAGAGAGGGGGGGAGAGAGGGGGAAAGGGGAAAAAAAAAAAAGGGGGGGGGGGGGGGGGGGGGGGGAAAAAGGGGGGGGAAAAAAAAGGGGGAAAAAAAAAAAAAAAAAGGGGGGGGGAAAAAAAGGGGGGAAAAAAAAAGGGAAAAGGGGGAAAAAAAAGGGGAAAAAAAAAAAAAAAAAAAGGGGGGAAAGAGGGGAAAAAGGGAGGGGGGAAGGAGAGGGAGAGAGAGAGGAGGGAGAGGGGAGAAGGGGGGGGGGGAAAAGGGGGGGGGGGAAAGGGAGGAGGGGGGGGGAAGGGGAGAGAAGAGGGGAGAGAGGAGGGAGAAAAGGGGGAAAAGGGGGGACGGGAAGAAAAAAAAGGAAAAAAGGGGGGAAGGGGGGAAAAGTTTTTGGGGAAGGAAAAAAAAGGGGGAAAAGGGGGGAAAAAAATGGAAGAGGAAGAGAAAGAGAGGAGAGAAAGAAAGAGGAGAGATAGAGAGGAGAGAGAGAGACCGAGAGAGAGAGGATTGGAAGAGGATCATAAAAGATCATCAGAGCACAGATGTCAACATAAGGACCCTCATCACTGTGTGACTCACCTGTTGAGGTCGTGGATGTAGTTGAGTGGGGGGGACTGGGCGAACCCCACCCCTGCCTCCCAGATGTACTCACAGCTGTCTATGGTCTGCATGTCCTCCACAGAGTCCTGTACGATGGTGACATCATCATGGGACCATCAATACCAATAACTACTGGGAGAGAGCTACTACTGCTCCCTACACCATTACATCGTTGTTCAGTAATCTGAAACAATGAATACACCATATGAAGCAAACAATGAGTCAGTTGACAATTTCACAGCAAGATCTAAGGTGGTCCTGTGTGGCTCAGTTGGTAGAGCACGGTGCTTGCGCCACCAGAGTTGTGGGTTAGATTCCCGAGGACACCCAAACATAAAATGTATGCACACATGCTGGTAAGTCGCTTTGGATAAAAGTTTCTGCTAAATGGCAGATATATTATTATACTGTATATTTTAAGCCTTCTAATAAGACATTATAGAGGCTCATGCATGCTTATAACAAGTAATACATGCATGTTTTAAGCAATGATGTGTATAAACCCTAGATGACAAACCCTAGATGACTGGCAGGGGGCGCTGTATTGACGCCACCGCGCAGCCATCTTGGTACTCCTCCTCAATTGTAAAAAAAGATTTTGGAAGCTATAGAAATGCATTTATTAATGTCTACATTCGTTTTTGACACATTTAGTAATGCATACTTTTAAATTATATTTTGTGAGCTAAAGATACAACTTAAAATAAAAATATATATAAAAACATTTTCCTTAAAGTCTTTTTTTTTTTTTTACTAATGTTACTGTCCCCACTAAAACAAGAAAAACATTAAATACATGTCATTTTGTCCTTGAAACATTTAATTGAAATACTGTAGAATTCCAATCATTCTTATGGAGGACTGTTCCTACTGGGGAGTGCCAATATGGCCGACCGGTGGCTTCAAAGCCTCTCAATTGCCAATACATAGCATCAGCAATCCAGGGTTTATATACATCATTGGTTTTAAGTAAAGTGTTACCGCATGGTTTTATTGAATTGCATGTGTGATGTCCATACCTTTTCAAAAAAGGTTATCCAGTTTATACACACAGGGATAATTACACACATATAAACTTGTAACTATAGTTACAGAACAAGTTTTAGGCAGACATAAGCAGGATATACATGACAGACCTAAAATGCAACACACATCTCCTCTTAGCGAGTTTCCCCATAGGTTGCTATGGGCCGAATTCAATTTCAGCTATTAATCAGTGACACAGATAACTGTTTCTGGAGACAGCAGTAAGACAGCTAGCCAGGTCCCAGATCTGTTTGTGCTTTTGCCTACTCCATTGTCATTGTCAAACGTGACAATTTCATAAGAGAGCAGAAACAGACTGGCACCCAGGATACAAGACAGGTACTAGGATCATCTCTGAAATCTCAAGAGACTCGGTTGACAGGTCAGGTGGGGCTGCTGTCTGACTAACACCAGGAAGAAGGAAACAGTCTCTACAACTCTTTCACCTTTCTAGACAGAGAGGAATGAAGGAGGGAAACCTTTCAAGCATGGTCTCGTAAATTCCAGACCTAGGGCAACACCACTGTATGCTGTATGCTGTAACATTGGTACATTGGTACATTGTATGAGGCAACCCTTCAGCAGAACTAAGCATGAATAAGATACAGTATTTGCCTGAAACAGCCTTGACAGTATTGAAGACAGCTGGTTGGAGATGGATAGATGTGACATTATGTAAACCTGAAGACATCCTGCCAGTACAGTGCCTTGCAAAAGTATTCATCCCCCTTGGTGTTTTTCCTATTTTGTTGCATTACAACATGTAATTTAAATGGATTTTATTTGGATTTCATGTAATGGACATACACAAAATAGTCCAAATTGGTGAAGTGAAATGAAAAAAAGAACTTGTTTCAAACAATTATAAAAAATAAATAACGAAAAAGTGGTGCATGCATATGTATTCATCCCCTTTGCTATGAAGACCCTAAATAAGATCTGGTGCAACCAATTACCTTCATAAGTCACATAACTAGTTAAATAAAGTCCACCTGTGTGCAATCTAAGTGTCACATGATCTGTCACATGATCTCAGTATATATACACCTGTTCTGAAAGGCCCCAGAGTCTGCAACATCACTAAGCAAGGGGCACCACCAAGCAAGCGGCACCATGAAGACCAAGGAGCTCTCCAAACAGGTCAGGGACAAAGATGTGGAGAAGTACAGATCAGGGTTGGGTTACAAAAAAATATCCGAAACTTTGAACATCCCACGGAGCACCATTAAATCCATTATTAAAAAATTGAAAGAATATGGCACCACAACAAATCTGCCAAGAGAGGGCCGCCCACCAAAACTCACAGACCAGGCAAGGAGGGCATTAATCAGAGAGGCAACAAAGAGACCAAAGATAACCCTGAAGGAGCTGCAAAGCTCCACAGTGGAGATTGGAGTATCTGTCCATAGGACCACTTTAAGTCGTACACTCCACAGAGCTGGGCTTTACGAAAGAGTGGCCAGGAAAAAGCCATTGCTTAAAGAAAAAAATAAGCAAACACGTTTGGTGTTCGCCAAAAGGCATGTGGGAGACTCCCCAAACATATGGAAGAAGGTACTCTGGTCAGATGAGACCAAAATTGAGCTTTTTGGCCATCAAAGAAAACGCTATGTCTGGCGCAAACCCAACACCTCTCATCACCCCGAGAACACCATCCCCACAGCTGCAAGTCTCTTGGGGTATGTCTCTATAAGCTTGGCACATCTAGCCACTGGGATTTTTACCCATTCTTCAAGGCAAAACTGCTCCAGCTCCGTCAAGTTGGATGGGTTCCGCTGGTGTATAGCAATCTTTAAGTCATACCACAGATTCTCAATTGGATTGAGGTCTGGGCTTTGACTAGGCCATTCCAAGACATTTAAATGTTTCCCCTTAAACCACTCTAGTGTTGCTTTAGCAGTATGCTTAGGGTCATTGTCCTGCTGGAAGGTGAACCTCCGTCCCAGTCTCAAATCTCTGGAAGACTGAAACAGGTTTCCCTCAAGAATTTCCCTGTATTTAGCGCCATCCATAATTCCTTCAATTCTGATGAAAAACATCCCCACAGCATGATGCTGCCACCACCATGCTTCACTGTGGGGATGGTGTTCTCGGGGTGATGAGAGGTGTTGGGTTTGCACCAGACATAGCGTTTTCCTTGATGGCCAAAAAGCTCAATTTTAGTCTCATCTGACCAGAGTACCTTCTTCCATATGTTTGGGGAGTATTCCACATAACTTTTGGAGAACATCAAACGTGTTTGCTTCTTTTTTTCTTTAAGCAATGGCTTTTTTCTGGCCACTCTTCTGTAAAGTCCAGCTCTGTAGAGTGTACGTCTTAAAGTGGTCCTATGGACAGATACTCCAATCTCCGCTGTGGAGCTTTGCAGCTCCTTCAGGGTTATCTTTGGTATCTTTGTTGCCTCTCTGATTAATGTCCTCCTGGCCTGGTCCGTGAGTTTTGGCAGGTTTGTTGTGGTGCCATATTCTTTCCATTTTTTAATAATGGATTTAATGGTGCTCCGTGGGATGTTCAAAGTTTCTGATATTTTTTTTATAACCCAACCCTGATCTGTACTTCTCCACAACTTTGTCCCTGACCTGTTTCTAGAGCTCCTTGGTCTTCATGGTGCCGCTTGCTTGGTGGTGCCCCTTGCTTAGTGGTGTTGCAGACTCTGGGGCCTTTCAGAACAGGTGTATATATACACTGAGATCATGTGACAGATGATGTGACACCTACATAAAGTCCACCTGTGTGCAATCTAACTAATTATGTGACTTCTGAAGGTAATTTGTTGCACCAGATCTTATTTAGGGTCTTCATAGCAAAGGGGGTGAATACATATGCACGCACCACTTTTCCGTTATAAATTTTTTTCATTTCACTTCACCAATTTGGACTATGTCCATTACATGAAATCCAAATAAATATCCATTTAAATTACAGGTTGTAATGCAACTGTTACGCTATGGTTAAACCCAGCACTCAGAGAAACAAAACACGACTAAGGGAGTGGAAGAAACAAAAATTATTTAAATAAAAGTTCAATTTGTCTTAGTCCAAAAACAACTGAAGAAAAGGAACAGAGTGGGCTAGTCGGCTCCGGAGGAAGGAGAGGCTGAGGCAGGCAGGCAGGCAGGCAGGCAGGCAGGAAGGCAGGCAGGCAGGTTGGGAGGCATGTCTGAACGCTCTAGTAAGAACAACGATCTGGCGCCGGTGGAGAGCCATGCCCAGGAATTAGTAGTGCAGGTTGATGAGAGAATAGGATGCAGCTGCGTAGGCAGGAATCACTGGAAACAACCCGCAGCTGCACAGTAGAGGCAGATCCTGAGCACGCCCCCCGATCCACTCCAGACACACACCGGCAGACGCACCAACATAATGGGGACAAACACACATACAGATACAACAGACAAAGAGGGGACAAAACAAGGAGGAAGGGAAACAGAAAAGGGAGAGACAAGCTGCCCACATAACAGTACCCCCCCCCTCAATGGTCGCCACCTGGCGACCCACCAGGCCTGTCAGGGTTGTCGTGATGGAAGTCCGTGATCAGCTGAGGATCCAACACAAAACGCTTAGGGACCCAAGACCTCTCCTCTGGTCCATAACCTTCCCAATCGACTAGGTATTGGAGACCCCTACCCCGCCTCCGAGATTCCAGGAGCCTACTGACGGTGTAGGCCGGATGGTCGTCAATGAGGCGAACAGGTGGAGGTGGATCTGCCGGCGGACACAAAAGGCTGGAGGACACAGGTTTCAGTTGGGAGACGTGGAAAGTAGGGTGTATCTTCATGGCTGAAGGCAACTTCAAACGAACCGCAGCGGGGTTAACGATGGACTCCACCACAAACGGACCCAGGTACCGAGGAGACAGCTTGCGTGATTTGGTACGAAGAGGTACGTTCTTTGATGACAGCCAAACTTCTTGACCAGGATGAAACACAGGTGCGGGAGTCCTGCTCCTATCCGCTGTCGTCTTGTTCCTGTCGGTGGTCCGAAGCAACGCTTCCCGAGCGTCGCTCCACACTCTCTGGCAGCGGCGGAGGTTCTCCTGAACCGAAGGAACAGCCAATTCCTTCTCCTGAGCAGGAAACAGAGGGGGTTGATAACCCATGGTTACTTCGAAGGGTGAAAGGCCGGTGGCAGAGGTGGTGAGGGAGTTGTGGGCGTACTCTATCCAAGGCAGATGTTTGGCCCAGGATGATGGATGTTGAGCAGCCACACAACGAAGGGTTGCTTCGAGGTCTTGATTGGCTCTTTCTGTTTGACCGTTGGTCTGGGGATGAAACCCTGAGGACAGACTAACGGAAGCACCCAAAGCAGAACAGAAAACCTTCCAAACACGGGAAGTAAACTGTGGGCCTCTATCAGATACGATGTCCACAGGTATTCCATGGGGACGGAATACATGTTGGACTAGGAGGTCCGCTGTCTCACTGGCAGACTGTAATTTTGGTAATGCTATATAGTGAACAGATTTAGAGAATCTGTCCACAATGGTAAGTATAGTATCATTACCTTCAGACTTGGGTAGGCCGGTGACAAAATCCATGGCTATGTGGGACCAGGGACGGCTGGGAACTGGGAGGGGTAGCAGCAGCCCCGAAGGGAACTGATGGGAGGCTTTGCCCCGAGCACAGGTTGAACAGGCTGCCACAAAAGCCCGAACGTCAGTTTCCATTGAAGGCCACCAAAAATGTCTCTTAAGCAGCGTCAACGTGCGTCTCATCCCAGGGTGACCAGCAAAACGGGAGGTGTGAATCCACTGCAACACCTGAGACCGGACCGTCTCGGGAACAAAGAGTAGGTTGGAAGGTCCATCACCCGGTCCCGGGTCCGTGGCAAGTGCAGTCTTCACAAGAGACTCGATCTCCCACTGTACTGCCGCCACGATGCATGAGGAAGGTAGGACTGCCTCAGGCTCGCTGGTCTCCGAAGGGTCAGCAAACTGGCGGGACAAAGCATCTGGTTTAACATTTCTTGACCCCGGGCTGTATGTTAGAATAAAGTTAAACCTACTAAAAAACAGGGCCCATCTGGCTTGGCGTGAGTTGAGTCTCTTAGTGGCTTGGATGTAAGCCAAGTTTTTGTGGTCTGTCCAGACCACAAATGGCAGTTCAGCTCCATCCAGCCAGTGCCGCCATTCTTCCAGTGCTAGCTTGACCGCCAGCAGTTCCCGGTTTCCAACGTCGTAATTCCGTTCTGTGGGTGACAATTTCTTGGAGAAAAAAAGCACAGGAGTGAAGCTTTTGGTCAGTGGGGGAGTGCTGGGAGAGGACTGCTCCCACACCTGAGTCAGACGCGTCCACCTCCACAATAAACTGCAGAGAGGTATTGGGGTGTATCAACACGGGGAGGTGGAAAACAGTTCCTTCAAAACCCCTACCGCCTGCTCCGCCTCAGGGGACCACAGAAAATTGACTTTTGGGGATGTGAGTCTAGTAAGGGGTGCCACCACTTTACTAAAACCCTTAATGAATATACGGTAGAAGTTAGCAAAGCCCAAAAATCGTTGAAGTTGCTTACGGGTGGTGGGTGTGGGCCATTCCGTCACTGCCCGGATCTTCTCGGGGTCCGCCTTCACCTGCCCGCTCTCAATGATGAAACCAAGGAACGATGTAGACTGTTTGCGGAACTCACACTTTTCTGCTTTGACGTACAGCTTATTCTCCAAGAGCCGTTGAAGGACTTGACGGACGTGTGACTCATGCTCCTCGGGTGACTTGGAAAAAACAAGAATATCATCCAGGTATACAAAGACAAAACGGTTCAAAAATTCCCTAAGAACATCGTTCACCATGGCTTGGAATACAGCAGGGGCGTTTGAGAGCCCAAAGGGCATGACCAAATACTCAAAATGCCCCAGTGGAGTGTTGAAAGCGGTTTTCCACTCATCTCCCTTTCGGATTCTGACAAGGTGATAAGCGTTCCTGAGGTCGAGCTTGGAGAAAACTGTGGCGCCATGCAGAGGTTCAAAAGCTGAGTTGATGAGTGGAAGGGGATACTTGTTTTTAACAGTTATGTTGTTTAAACCCCTGAAATCGATACAGGGGCGTAACGACTTGTCTTTCTTTTCAACGAAAAAGAAACCTGCACCCAAAGGAGACGACGAGGGACGGATTATGCCCGAGGCCAGAGAATCACCAATATACTGCTCCATTGCCTCTCTTTCCGGTCGGGACAGATTGTATAAGCGACTAGAGGGCAAGGGAGCACCAGGAAGCAGTTCAATAGGGCAATCATAAGGCCTATGTGGTGGTAGAGACAGAGCCTTGTCCTTACTGAAAACCTCAGCTAAGTCATGGTATTCTTTGGGGACAGATGACAGATCGGGAGGAGCTGAGGGATGAGTTGGGTTACACTTAGTGGGGGGAACCGCTGACCTAAGGCACTCTGAATGGCAGTTAGTGCTCCAACTGAGAATGGTGTGACGTGTCCAATCAATTTGTGGGTTGTGAAGAGCCAACCAGGGGAAGCCAAGGATTAGGGGGGGTAGCTGAGCCAGACATAACTCTTAACTGAATGCTTTCACAATGATTGCCAGAAATCACTAGGGAAACGGGGGTGGTTTGATGAGTTATCTCCGCGAGGAGGCGCCCATCAAGGGCTGTGACTCGAATGGGGGTAGGTAGTGGCTCCACGGGGATACGAGCTTGTGTAACGAACTGGTGGCTAATAAAGTTGTCTTCTGCACCTGAGTCTATGAGAGCTGAGAGTGGCAGGGAATGACTCTGGAAACGTAAGGTTACAGGTACTTGTAATCGGGGAATGATGGGTTCAGGATCTAACTCTGGGCTCGCAAGTAGACCCACCGTTACAAGCGAGCCTTGTCTTTTGGTCGCTTAGGGCATGTAGCCAGAATGTGTGTGGCGTCTCCACAGTACAGGCACTCACCCGCCTGGAGGCGCCGTTGCCGCTCTGCTGGAGGTAGTCGAGCACGACCCACTTGCATTGGTTCCTCCGCTGTGCTCGGGATGGGATCAGGAACAAGAAGCTGCCGGCTCCGGGGAGGCGAGACTCGAGTGGTTGAAGGCTGGGGAACTCGTCCTCCTAGATGTGGCCGACCGCCTCTCTCCCGGCACCTCTCCCGCAACCGGTTGTCTAGCTTAATGGACAGGGAAACGAGAGAATGTAAATCATGTGGCTCGTCACGAGCAGCCAGTTCATCCTTAATGGCTTCATTCAAACCGTTTAGAAATGCTCCTTGAAGTGCCACATTGTTCCATTTGGAGTCCGCTGCCAAAGTCCAGAACTCAATAGAGTACTCAGCCACACTGTTAGAACCCTGCCTCAAATTAAAAAGTATCTTGGAGGAATTACCCACATGGTCAGGATGGTCAAAAACAGTCTTCAATTTAGCAGAAAAATCAGCAAAAGTCAATCCAGTCAAAGTTTGATTTGATTTTGAAAAATCAAGTCACACTGAAGCAAAAATCCCCGGCACTTGTCCAATTCTCCATTGAACGGTTCAGGCGACGTGACAGGGGGTTCCCGATGGAACGAAGCCTGCATAATGTCTGAGGAAACAACTTGGGGTGCATCAAACTGGGGGTCAGAGAGAGATGGAGAACTGATAACAGACAATTTAGAGACTTGTGTTGTTAACTGAGTCACCTGGTTCAGCAGTTGATGATTATTTTCCAAAAGAGTCCGAATCAATTGGTCATGCTGTCCTAGCAACGTTCCTTGAGCCTGGATAGCTTGTTGGAAGCTGTCTTTGTCTGCCCCGTGCTGTTTCTCTGTTGGGTCCATGGCCAGATCGTTCTGTTACGCTATGGTTAAACCCAGCACTCAGAGAAACAAAACACGACTAAGGGAGTGGAAGAAACAAAAATTATTTTAATAAAAGTTCAATTTGTCTTAGTCCAAAAACAACTGAAGAAAAGGAACAGAGTGGGCTAGTCGGCTCCGGAGGAAGGAGAGGCTGAGGCAGGCAGGCAGGCAGGCAGGCAGGCAGGCAGGAAGGCAGGCAGGCAGGCAGGCAGGTTGGGAGGTATGTCTGAACGCTCTAGTAAGAACAACGATCTGGCGCCGGTGGAGAGCCATGCCCAGGAATTAGTAGTGCAGGTTGATGAGAGAATAGGATGCAGCTGCGTAGGCAGGAATCACTGGAAACAACCCGCAGCTGCACAGGAGAGGCAGATCCTGAGCACGCCCCCCGATCCACTCCAGACACACACCGGCAGACGCACCAACATAATGGGGACAAACACACATACAGATACAACAGACAAAAAGGGGACAAAACAAGGAGGAAGGGAAACAGAAAAGGGAGAGACAAGCTGCCCACATAACAGCAACAAAATAGGAAAAACGCCAAGGGGGATGAATACTTTTGCAAGTTATTATATTTTACTGCTGCTCTTTACTTTTTTTACTTTTCTTTTTTACTGAACACTTATTTTTCTTAAAACTGCATTGTTGGTTAACGGCTTATAAGTAAGCATCTCACTGTAAGGTCTACACCTGTTGTATTCGGCGCATGTGGCAAATAAAAATTGATTTGATTTGATGGAGTGCTGCATCAGATGACCTGGCCTCCACAATCCCTCGACCTCAACCGAATTGAGATGGTTTGAAATGAGTCGGACCACAGAGGGAAGGAAAAGCAGCCAACAAGTGCTCAGCATATGTGGGAACTCCTTCAAGACTGTTGGAAAAGCATTCCAGGTGAAGCTGGTTGAGAGAATGCCAAGAGTGTGCATTTTGTCATCAAGGCAAAGGGTGGCTATTTGAAGAATCTCAAATATAAAATATATTTTGATTTGTTTAACAGTTTTTTGGTTACTACATTATTCCATATGTGTTATTTCATAGTTTTGATGTCTTCACTATTATTATACAATGTAGAAAATAGTAAAAATAAAGCAAAACCCTTGAATGAGTAGGTGTTCTAAAACTTTTGACTGGTAGTGTAGAGTTGAAATGTATTCAATTTAGAGTTTGCATCCCAATTTTACACTTTATAAACATCACACAAGATCATTTGACATAAAATGAATATCCGGTGTTTCAATTTAAAAAAAATAATGTTTATTAATTATGAAATTATGAAAATTATTAATAACATTCCACCCACGAGGCCACTAGGTCATTTGACTGCAGGAAAGGGCTACGAGTACAACCACCCTAAAATGAGTACCACATATTTCAGTCCACTTCAAGACCTCTTTACTGAGGAATGTGGTTGTTTTTTATGATTGTGTTTTTGTATTTTTTTTATGCTGCTGTGATAGTGTAATTGTTGTGTAGTTGTTAAGATGGAGTACTCCCTTGCAAAAGAGACCTTGGTCTCAATGGGACTCCCTGTTAAAATAAAGGTTAAATCAAAATGAATAAGCACTGGGTCCGATGAGAGTACTCACAGGTCCTCTCCGGTGGCTGTTCACAGTGAAGCCAGGACAGAAGAGCAGGTCGGCCATGGCCAGGAGCAGAGACTCAGCCAGCGGACGAGCTCCTTCATCATCATCCATCTCATCTGTCTGTTAAGGAGGACGGAGGGGACAGGAGGATGGGGGGGAGGAGGATGGGAGGGAGGGGGGCAGGAGGATGGAGGGGGGCAGGAGGATGGAGGGGGGGCAGGAGGATGGAGGGAGGGGGCAGGAGGATGGAGGGGGGGCAGGAGGATGGAGGGGGGCAGGAGGATGGAGGGGGGGCAGGAGGATGGAGGGAGGGGGCAGGAGGATGGAGGGGGGCAGGAGGATGGAGGGGGGGCAGGAGGATGGACGGAGGGGGCAGGAGAATGGAGGGAGGGGGCAGGAGAATGGAGGGGGGCAGGAGGATGGAGGGGGGGCAGGAGGATGGAGGGAGGGGGCAGGAGAATGGAGGGGGGCAGGAGGATGGAGGGGGGGCAGGAGGATGGAGGGAGGGGGCAGGAGAATGGAGGGGGGCAGGATGATGGGGCGGGGGCAGGAGGATGGGGGGGGGGGGGCAGGGGGGCAAACATTAAACCCCTCTACACTTTGTTACCCTCTATAGCAAACATTTCTGAATGTCTAATGAGGAAATAGAGTTCCACTGAACTTTTAGGATGCTATTTCCTCTTATCTTCCCATGTAGGAAGAAACAAATGTTGTAATCAAGAGAGGTAGAACATCCACCTGAGAGATTTGTTTTTCTCTCATCATCATGGTTTATTACTGTGTTGTGTTCATTAGGCAGCAGATGGAAGAAAACTGGCAGGGACTACCTAGACTTGTCCAATAAAAAACGTTTACTTTCGTTTTCCGTTGTGTCCAAATGAACACAACCATAGTGTACTATGTGTGAAACATACCATCTACTGGAATGAGGAAACTAATTAGTGGGATGAATGGAGTATTACATTTTTTTTCAATCAACAGAAGCCAATTTCCTCCCACATATCCACCAGTCTCACTTGGCTCCAGTGCAGGGACTACAGACATCTAAGACTCATTCATGTTGAGATTACAAATGAACAGGCTGGTATTTTTACTGACATCTACCATGAAGCGTTTGTAAAATGGAAGAGTGGGTAGAGTCTGTCTAGCCTGGTCCCAGATCTGTTTGTGCTGCATAGCCAAAAACGACCAATGCACAAACAGATCTGGGACCAGGCTAGTATCTGTCGAATATCGGACAAAACACTGGTGCTTGCAGCAGCTATGTGGATGTTAACCTCAATAAGAGGTTTGCATACACTGATCTGCAGCCATAGGGGATTATCATTTTAGCAACTTTGCTACAGCAGGAACATAATCCTGCCGCAACAGGGAATGTAAATTATTATGTGGATTATAATTAATGGACATATCTGTAGGGGTTGATAGATATTTCGTATGGGAAAATCAAGTCTGAAATTTCCAAGTGGAAATTACAAACTTCAGAAGCCTTTTAAACCACAAATACATTACAAGTTTAAAATGTCCTGCATTGCAAGAAAGTTATTCTGCAACAGGGTGATCAAATTAAGATCTTACATCTGTACTGTAAGTGTATCTCAAACCCTAGCCAACTCTACATACAGTATACTCCTCTTTTTGACTCACACACACCTGCCGCCCACTCAGCCCAGCTCTTCAAGCACCAGGCTCAGTGGACCAGAACAACCGCCCACTCACCCCAGCTCTTCCAGCACCAGGCACAGTGGACCAGAAGAAGCCCCTCCACTCACCCCAGCTCTTCCAGCACCAGGCACAGTGGACCAGAAGAAGCCCCTCCACTCACCCCAGCTCTTCCAGCACCAGGCACAGTGGACCAGAAGAAGCCCCTCCACTCACCCCAGCTCTTCCAGCACCAGGCACAGTGGACCAGAAGAAGCCCCTCCACTCACCCCAGCTCTTCCAGCACCAGGCACAGTGGACCAGAAGAAGCCCCTCCACTCACCCCAGCTCTTCCAGCACCAGGCACAGTGGACCAGAAGAAGCCCCTCCACTCACCCCAGCTCTTCCAGCACCAGGCACAGTGGACCAGAAGAAGCCCCTCCACTCACCCCAGCTCTTCCAGCACCAGGCACAGTGGACCAGAAGAAGCCCCTCCACTCACCCCAGCTCTTACAGCACCAGGCACAGTGGACCAGAAGAAGCCCCTCCACTCACCCCAGCTCTTCCAGCACCAGGCACAGTGGACCAGAAGAAGCCCCTCCACTCACCCCAGCTCTTCCAGCACCAGGCACAGTGGACCAGAAGAAGCCCCCTCCACTCACCCCAGCTCTTCCAGCACCAGGCACAGTGGACCAGAAGAAGACCCTCCACTCACCCCAGCTCTTCCAGCACCAGGCACAGTGGACCAGAAGAAGCCCCTCCACTCACCCCAGCTCTTCCAGCACCAGGCACAGTGGACCAGAAGAAGCCCCTCCACTCACCCCAGCTCTTCCAGCACCAGGCACAGTGGACCAGAACAACCGCCCACTCACCCCAGCTCTTCCAGCACCAGGCACAGTGGACCAGAAGAAGCCCCTCCACTCACCCCAGCTCTTCCAGCACCAGGCACAGTGGACCAGAAGAAGCCCCTCCACTCACCCCAGCTCTTCCAGCACCAGGCACAGTGGACCAGAAGAAGCCCCTCCACTCACCCCAGCTCTTCCAGCACCAGGCACAGTGGACCAGAAGAAGCCCCTCCAGTCTTGGTCCTCAAAGATGTAGGGCAGGATGCGGGTCAGCATACGACTACAGTTCAGAACGATCTGTTTCTCCTTCTCCGAGGGGCATCCTGACTCTGCTGCCTGCACCAGCTTCTCTACGGCCTGGGGGAGAGATGGCCTGGGTGTTATAAATACAGCCTGGGGGAGAGATGGCCTGGGTGTTATAAATACAGCCTGAGGGAGAGATGGCCTGAGATGGCCTGGGTGTTATAAATACAGCCTGGGGGAGAGATGGCCTGGGTGTTATAAATACAGCCTGGGGGAGAGATGGCCTGGGTGTTATAAATACAGCCTGAGGGAGAGATGGCCTGAGATGGCCTGGGTGTTATGAATACAGCCTGGGGGAGAGATGGCCTGGGTGTTATAAATACAGCCTGGGGGAGAGATGGCCTGGGTGTTATAAATACAGCCTGGGGGAGAGATGGCCTGGGTGTTATAAATACAGCCTGAGGGAGAGATGGCCTGAGATGGCCTGGGTGTTATAAATACAGCCTGGGGGAGAGATGGCCTGGGTGTTATAAATACAGCCTGGGGGAGAGATGGCCTGGGTGTTATAAATACAGCCTGGGGGAGAGATGGCCTGGGTGTTATTAATACAGCCTGTGGGAGAGATGGCCTGGGTGTTATAAATACAGCCTGAGGGAGAGATGGCCTGAGATGGCCTGGGTGTTATTAATACAGCCTGTGGGAGAGATGGCCTGGGTGTTATTAATACAGCATGTGGGAGAGATGGCCTGGGTGTTATTAATACAGCCTGGGGGAGAGATGGCCTGGGTGTTATTAATACAGCCTGTGGGAGAGATGGCCTGGGTGTTATAAATACAGCCTGGGGGAGAGATGGCCTGGGTGTTATTAATACAGCATGTGGGAGAGATGGCCTGGGTGTTATTAATACAGCCTGGGGGAGAGATGGCCTGGGTGTTATTAATACAGCCTGGGGGAGAGATGGCCTGGGTGTTATAAATACAGCCTGGGGGAGAGATGGCCTCGGGGAAAGATGCCCTGGGGGAGAGATGGCCTGGGGGAGAGATGGCCTAGGCGTTATAAATATTGGCAATGACTTACACAGACACAGACACGCATGCACACACGCAAACACAGTCACTCATGATCAGATACAGTACACAGAGAAATGACATTAATCACATCAGCAATGTTTAGTACATTACATTGAGTCATACTAATATTCAATTGTTTTGATGATTTAATCTATCTAAATAAATTATATGAATTGATAGTTCACCTCTCTGTTTTATTTTATTCTGTAATAGGGTTTATTGTAACCATGTTTTCAAGCTAATCAAATCAAAGTTTATTTATGATACAGCGTAATGTAAGCTACACAATAAAATTAAATGCCTACTCACAACTAAAGCTTTCCCTCGCAAAGTGCAATGATATTAATCTATATGTATTTGTATTTACATGAAGCTATAAACTACAAATATCTACACCACGTAGTCATAGGCCTATTAGACTATACTGCACATTATTGTTGTTTGTTCCTGAACTGGCCGAATGGCAGAGCTATTCTTCAGCTATCCTTCAGCCAATCCTTCAGCTATCCTTCAGCTATCCTTCAGCTATCCTTCAGCTATCCTTCAGCTATCCTTCAGCCAATCCTTCAGCTATCCATCAGCTATCATTCAGCCAATCCTTCAGCTATCCTTCAGCTATCCTTCAGCCAATCCTTCAGCTATCCTTCAGCTATCCTTCAGCTATCCTTCAGCCAATCCTTCAGCTATCCTTCAGCACCACAAGTTGGTTAATCTTCTTTAACATCACTGTGCGATTCTGGCGCTGTCCTTTCAGCACCATGAACGGCGCTCCAATCACTTAAATTAACACTCATCAACATCTGTTGCCTACTCATCACTTATTATTATTTATTATTATTAATACAAATAGAAGATTATCACTTCTCACAATGGTGCTCGTTTAGTAAAGTTAGATAAAGCTGAATCAATGTCTTGCAAGATCACATAATGACTAATTAGAATTTTACATAACAGAACCAAATATAATAGTACAGTATAGTAGGCGTATAACGTTACTGTTACACCAAAAACACCTCCTCATTTCTAATGACATTTTAGGATGGTTAGCTGAAGCTGAATAGTCAAAAAAAAGTATAATGCGCCAAAACTCGACAGAGTCACTAGGCAGGATATACAGTGCCTTGCAAAAGTATTCATCCCCCTTGGCGTTTTTCCTATTTTGTTGCATTACAACATGTAATTTAAATTGATTTTTATTTGGATATCATGTAATGGACATACACAAAATAGTCCAAATTGGTGAAGTGAAATGAAAGAAATTACTTGTTTCAAGAAATTCAAACAAATAAATAACGGAAAAGTGGTGCGTGCATATGTATTCACCCCCTTTGCTACGAAACCCCTAAAAAAGTTATGGTGCAACCAATTACCTTCAGAAGTCACATAATTAGTTCAATAAAGTCCACCTGTGTGCAATCTAAGTGTCACATGATCTGTCACATGATCTCAGTATATATACACCTGTTCTGAAAGGCCCCTGAGTCTGCAACATCACTAAGCAAGGGGCACCACCAAGCAAGCGGCACCATGAAGACCAAGGAGCTCTCCAAACAGGTCAGGGAAAAAGTTGTGGAGAAGTACAGATCAGGGTTGGGTTATAAAGAAATATCCGAAACTTTTAACATCCCACGGAGCACCATTACATCCATTATTAAAAAATTGAAAGAATTAGGCACCAGAACAAACCTGCCAAGAGAGGGCCTCCCACCAAAACTCACGGACCAGACAAGGAGGGCATTAATCAGAGAGGCAACAAAGAGACCAAAGATAACCCTGAAGGAGCTGCAAAGCTCCACAGCGGAGATTGGAGTATCTGTCCATAGGACCACTGTAAGCCGTACACTCCACAGAGCTGGGCTTTACAGAAAAGTGGCCAGAGAAAAGCCATTGCTTAAAGAAAAAAAGAAGCAAACACGTTTGGTGTTCGCCAAAAGGCATGTGAGAGACTCCCCAAACATATGGAAGAAGGTACTCTGGTCAGATGAGACTAAAATTGAGCTTTTTGGCCATCAAGGAAAGCGCTTTGTCTGGCGCAAACCCAACACCTCTCATCACCCCGAGAATACCATCCGAATCAATGATGTTTTTCATCAGCAGGGACTGGGAAACTTGTCAGAATTGAAGGAATGATGGATGGCGCTAAATACAGGGAAATTCTTGAGGGAAACCTGTTTCAGTCTTCCAGAGATTTGAGACTGGGACGGAGGTTCACCTTCCAGCAGGACAATGACCCTAAGCATACTGCTAAAGCAACACTCGAGTGGTTTAAGGGGGAACATTTAAATGTCTTGGAATGGCCTAGTCAAAGTCCAGACCTCAATCCAATTGAGAATCTGCGGTATGAATTAACAATTGCTGTACACCAGCGGAACCCATCCAACTTGAAGGAGCTGGAGCAGTTTTGCCTTGAAGAATGGGCAAAAATCCCATTGGCTAGATGTGCCAAGCTTATAGAGACATACCCCAAGAGACTTGCAGCTGTAATTGCTGCAAAAGGTGGCTCTACAAAGTATTGACTTTGGGGGGGAGTGAATAGTTATGCACGCTCAAGTTCTGTTTTTTTGTCTTATTTCTTGTTTGTTTAACAATAAAAAATAATTTGGCATCTTCAAAATGGTAGGCATGTTGTGTAAATCAAATGATCCAAACACCCCCAAAAATCAATTTTAATTCCAGGTTGTAAGGCAACAAAATAGGAAAAATGCCAAGGGGGGGTGAATACTTTCGCAAGCCACTGTTTGCTTTGATTGAAACAAAATACAATAAAGGCTAATATACTGAACAAAAATATAAACGTAACATGTAACAATTTCAAAGATTTTACTGAGTTACAGTTAATATAAGGAAATCAATTAATTGAAATAAATAAATTAGGCCCTAATCTATGGATTTCACATGACTGGAAATACAGATATGCATCTGTTGGTCACAGATACCTTAAAAACAAGGTAGGAGTGTGGATCAGAAAACCAGTCAGTATTTGGTGTGACCACCATTTGCCTCATGTAGCGCGACACATCTCCTTTGCATAGAGTTGATCAGGCTGTTGATTGTGGCCTGTGGAATGTTGTCTCCTCTTCAATGGCTGTGCGAAGTTGCTGGATATTGTCGGGAACTGGAACACGCTGTCATACACGTCAATACTGGAACACACTGTCATACACGTCGATCCAAAGCATACCAAACATGCTCAATGGGTGACATGTCTGGTGAGTATGCAGGCCATGGAAGAACTGGGACATTTCAGCATCCAGGAATTGTGTACAGATCCTTGCGACATGGGGCCGTGCATTATCATGCTGAAAGACGAGGTGATGGCGGCGGATGAATGGCACGACAATGGGCCTCAGGATCTCGTCACGGTATCTCTGTGCATTCCAATTGCCATCGTTAAAATGCAATTGTGATCGTTGTCTGTAGGTTATGCCTGCCCATACCATAACCCCACCGCCACCATGGGGCACTCTGTTCACAACGCTGACATCAGCTAACCGCTCGCCCACACTATGCCATACAGGTGGCCGGTTGGACATACTGCCAAATTCTCGAAAACAACGTTGGAGGCAGCTTATGGTAGAGAAATGAACATTCAATTCTCTGGCAACAGCTCTGGTGGACATTCCTGTAGTCAGCATGCCAATTGCACACTCCCTCAACATTTTAGACATCTGTGGCATTGTGTTGTGACAAAACTGCACATTTTAGAATGGTCTTTTATTGTCCCCAGCACAAGGTGCACCTGTGTAATGATCATGCTGTTTAATCAGCTTCTTGATATGCCACACCTGTCAGGTGGATGGATTATCATGGCAAAGGAGAAATGTTCACTAACAGGGATGTAAACAAATGTGTGCTCAAAATGTGAGAGAAATAAGCTTTTTGTGTGTATGGAACATTTCAGGGATCTTTTATTTCAGCTCATAAAAACATGGGGCCAACACTTCACATGTTGCGTTTATATTTTTGTTCAGTGTAGTTTGTTAACATCATCTGCTTTAATTCACTCACGAAACAGTAATTCAATAAGATATAAATGCATATTCCCATGAAACTGATTGAGATTGATCAAATGATTGGCATGCAGATAGGGTTTGGATGTTTCACAGGTAAAACGTGAAGAATTCAGGATTGACAGTGATGATGGCCTATTTTGAAACAGGACAGCCCAACAGTCTGTCCTGTTCCATTAGGGATCCCCCAGCCCCAACAGTAGGTCTGTTTTGTTTCTGATAGGCAGTTTATAAAGGAAGCAGGGAGTCGGAGACGGGAAGGGAGGACGCCTTGCTTCTTTCCTGCATCCAAGAGCAGCGGGCACTGACTCACTGACAGACACCTCTGCCAGCCAGCTACTCAATAAAAGCTGCAAAGTTTCGTAACAATATCTCTGTGGAATGCACTTGATGTTAGTACAGCTTGCATCCAGTACCTAAAATAAATAGGTTTAGCCTTAGAGTGCGTATCAGAACACTTTGGGACGGTTTCCCCAGACAGATTAAGCCTAGTCCTGTACTAAAAAACATTCTCTGTGGAGAATCTCCACTGAAATAGCTTTTTAGTCCATGAGTACAGGCTTAATCTGTGTCTGGGAAACCTTTCTGGTCAATCTGCTGCAGCCCAGTGCAGTTCCACTTCCATAACATCCTCCTCCTCCTCCTACTCATCATCATCATCATTCTACCTTATAGCAGAGAGTTGCCAGATTGGAGGGGGACTCCTCCCGAACAGCTCGGATCTCCGCGGCTGGCACCAGGGCAAAAACATCCTGCACAGTGGTGGCAGTGTCGGCCCAGAACTGGTCCCAGAAGGCATCGTCTGTGGCCTCCACTGGCTGTGGGAAATGCATGTATCTGCTTTTAGACTACGTTTCCCATCACCCATTGGGCTCATCTGGGGTTGCTCCAATCTGACTAATGATAACCTATTACATTCGGTGTAAAAAACAGCATGTATAACAGTGTCATAGAAAGTAATAGGGTAATGTAATGTAATGAATGTCGAATCACACAACAAATGCATTCAGTATCAACAAATATATCAATAAGGACACTTATAACATAAAGAGGGCTAGAATAATAGAAATAATCATATCATAACATTTTACATTTTAGTCAATTAGCAGACGCTCTTATCCAGAGCTACTTACAGTTAGTGAGTGCATACATTTTTTTCATACTGGCCCCCCGTGGGAACGAACCCACAACCCTGGCGTTGCAAGCGCCATGCTCTACCAACTGAGCTACACGGGGCCAGAATAATGTAACGTCATTCTAATAACTAGGTTGCATCTCAACACATGTTAGCAGATGGGGAAACTCCTGACAACCTTAACATT